TTCTACTAAATACTGAGCAAAGGGTCTGAATACTTATGACCATGTGATATTTCAGTGTTTCTTTTTTAATAAATCTGCTAAAATGTCAAAGATTCTGTTTTTCTGTCAATATGGGGTGCTGTGTGTACATTAATGAGGAAAAAAATGAACTTAAATGATTTTAGCATATGGCTGCAATATAACAAAGAGTGAAATATTTAAGGGGGTCTGAATACTTTCTGTACCCACTGTATTACTTTACGTACCCACTGTATTTCCTGACGTATAACAGCGACAGTCTGGAGACAACCAGTTCCACTTGTTTTGATGCCGTCCACAAACAAAAGCACAGATGGTTGCAACACAACTATGTAATAACACTTGCAAGTGTAAACATAGCCACAGTCGACAACGTCCTCGTTCGGTATGACACAGTGTAGTGGCAATGGGAGAAAACAACTGTCCAATCAGAGAATGTGAATTAAATACACAAAAGAGGCAGGTCTGTATGTGTAGAAACGGTGTAAAGATGTGTGTGTGTGTGTCTTTGGGGTCACCTCAGGTGCAATGTAATCTGGCGTCCCGCAGAAGGTGGTGGTGGTCACTCCGTTCAGGACGCCCTCCTTGCACATCCCGAAGTCTGCCAGCTTACAGTGACCCTCAGCATCCAGCAAAATGTTGTCCAGCTTTAAGTCTCTGCAGAGCAGAAGGGTTGTCCAGGTAAATAATGGAACAAGCAAAGAAACATTTTATTATTTGAAAACATCACACAGATATACTTTGCACACACACACACACACACACATCCTGACAAATAAATATGGGCTCTTTGAGCTAGTTATTAATTGTTACTGTCTCAGTTTAACCTAAAGACATGTCCTGCACTTGTGTGATGAAGGCTTCCCTCTTTTTACTCTTTGAAATTGGTCTCAGGTTTATCTGGATCAAAGGGCAGGAGAAACATGCAGCGGGAGCCTGGGAAAGGGAACAGACCTGGGAAAAGAGAGAGAGTTGAAGGCTGAATGGGAGAGAGAAAGTCTGAGATAAGAGCAGCAGTGTTGAGAGATGACAGGGTTGGTCATGAATGCAACTGCTCTGGGCTTGATGGTTGATCGCTACAAAAATGTCAACATCTCCTCGATGCAGCCACTGCAGCCATTCAGCCCGAGGTGTTTTCAAAAATACAGCCGCCCTGACAAGCCAGGGAGGAGATGGTGTGTGTGCTCCTGGAGTCACGAGCTTATGCTGTTTTGTTTTTGTAAGCCCCGAAAAGAAAAAGGTATCTTGTTTGAGAGCTGCTGTAATTTGTTATTGAAATGTTTGCTCTTTACTGTGCTATCATGCGTCGCTCTGACAGGCTATTGATTGCACTATAGAAGCTGTGAAAAGAAAAAGAGAGCTGCTGATTATGCACAGTCCCTCAGGTAAAATCCAAATAAAGTTTCTGCATCCTCAAGCAGCTGAATTTCCCTTTTCAAACAAGTTCAAGGACTGGTATTTCCATCGATCATTCTGTGTTTTATGTTAAATTTTTAAAAATGAATTAACTAATTAGAAATAAGTAAGTAAGTGATATTATTCATCAGCTAAAGCAGTAACTAATTTGGCCCCAGACCCTGGGAGAGACTGGCATGCTGGGAGTCTTTTGTTAAGGTCCCCACACCTTGGATCAACCTTTCAGCAACACTCACCAAATCTATTTCTACTTCTAAATGTACCGTTAAGCATACTTGTACTTGCTTTTTTTCTTGTTACCTGTATGTTCAGTATTGGGCTGGGTACAAACAGTTTGTGGCGCCTGTGACACGTAGGTAAACCATGACTGGTATGCTACTGCGCCTCCAGTCTTAAGGAACGCTTGACAATTCAGATGCAGTGCAGCTTGACATTTGGCTTTGAGTGAGTTTTTCTTAATGCTTTTGATCAGGTTCTGGTGGGAAAAATACTGAATATTATAAACACTAAACTAAACTAAACCCAAACCTTCGCCTGAAAAAGCTGAACTTGACTCGGATTTTTCACACAACACATGCAAATTGAATTATGCTGTACAAGAGTGATGATTAATGTTTAGCTGTTTAGCTTATTCAGGTTCATTGCTCTCTACATTGCTTATGTATGCTTTCATTTTTCTGAGCTCTGCATGAAATGCAAGATGTTCTTCCCTTTTTCCCAAAACAATGACAGTCTTGTACTGCTGACTGGACTGGCTAAAGCTAAAAGGCACATTGAAGAAGGAAAGAGCAGCATTTGTTCTGTATTGCCCCTGATGAGAAATTAAACTGGTGAGCCCCCGGCTGCCTGTTTGGATATCTCACCTCCAGGCAACTCCCAGAATATTAAATCTGAATTGCATGCCTGCAGCAAGGCAGAAACATAGCATATAAAACTAATGTATCTGAGCTTGAATCTAAATGGCTGCTGACATTAATCTTTGTATTACACATCACCTCGCTTTAGGGCAATTCAATATTAAGTGTCTGCAGGTGTCCAGGGGCACTAATGGAATGATATTTATTTATGAAAAGATGTTTTGTTGTGTTGTTCATAGGATAAGAGGTGTGTCAACAGGTGCTAATGATCTATGCTGCAGAACCGCAAATGAGCAAAAGTCTAATAATCTTGCATTTATTATGTTATAAACTTTATTACATTATTGCAGAATAATTGAATTCCAGCTGTGATTCCCTGGACAGATCTTTACTGCTATCATTATGTGTTCTAATCTTTTGTATTATTTGTGTGATTAGTTTCTGTTAGTGTTATGAATGTTAATGAATAAACTGAAAGCTTAAATTGGAATTTAACAAGAAAGTTTTCCTGCTCTGAACCAACTACCAGTTTGCCTGCTTTATTAAGATGGATGACCACTAAGGTCAAGTTTTTCATTTCCAGGCCCAATTACACATTTTCATCAATTCCCGATACGTTTTTATGATGTTTTGACCCAGTCTTTAAAAACATATAACCACAATGAATAATTAACTTATGTGATAAACATTAAGGAGATATGGACCAGGACCAGTTTGGACAGAAAATGTTGAGAACTTGTTTTAGCATTTCAGAACTGCACCTCATTAAATAAACCTTTTTGATCAGGAAGAAAGGGGCCGATCTAAATATTATAACTTTCACACTAGCAGGATCACCGGGCTCCAACTGAAAACCATTTAGGAGGCTCAGTATGACAACCTTTGGATACGTGTGCTTAAATACAAGTTCCAGGCTTCTGCCAGTCTCAACCAGAAAAGGCAAACCCTCCTGACCCCAGATGGGTCAAGCTGATGAAGAATTCATACCGTCAGTGTGGAATGAGCTGATTTGAACAGCTCTAAGACATGAATAAGACATTACATCTACATATCAAAACATATCTAACAGATGACACATCATGTTTTCATTGTAAGAAAGTTGAGTCCCTTTACTTGACAGATGTTCCTGGGATGGAATTCTGTGGGAACTGTTTGATTTGAGTGCAACTGATTTGATTCAGATGCTGTTTAACATCAGTGTCACTGTGTTTATAATATGTCTACCTGTCTATTAAAGGAGCTTTAATAACATACAAGAAATTCTGTCAATACGCCTCACTGTCCAGACACGCACACACACACACACACACACAGCAATCAGGCTCGATTGAGAGCATTTCCTGTGTTTCATGTTAATCTTGAGTGATTTTTCCATTACGTCCTCAGCGGCAACCCCTGTGCGCTGTGACAGCGAACCTCTCTCTCTGTCACTCTCTTGACTCCAGCCCTCCACCCTTCTGTGTCACTTCATGTTCCAAACACACATCTAGGGGGTATCGCACAAAACTAATAAGTGATTAAGCCAGGATTTTCCAGTGATCCTGGCCTGATTTAGCCCTGACTCAGCTGCATGAAAGCAGGGTAAATTAAGATAAATTAAGCTACTATGGAGATTTATTCTTTGCAGCTAGCCTGCTCCAGACCAGGCTAACAGGCTCTTTTTCATTTAAAAAAATCAAATTCACTAGTGTTTAACTTTGCTTTTAAGTCTGAAACCAAGCAATGACTACAGCATGGCAGACTGTGTGATGATGTTCTGCTTACGTCTTGTTGACACACTTATGCGTACATGTGTGTGTCTACACAAACCCTCCAACCAGTCTAAACCTGCTCCATCAACAGCATCACAGTCAAACATTACATACTTGTTCTCACAGATTTCAGAAGCACTGAAAAACAGGAATGAGAACAACATGCTACCGTGCATAAATGTTTTTCTTTCCTCTTTGCCAAGTGAGGTTCGTAGTGATAGGAGCAGAGATGAGGGGCTGGGGGGCGAAAAGACCAGCATCACAGGAGTGATGGAAGACAGCGGAGGGGGAGGAGGTAAGGAGAGAGAGTTAGAGAGGTGGTGGTGGGGGGACAGGTGGGAAGGGAGGGAGAGAGAGAAAAGAGCAGGGACATAATGTTCCCAAAGCAGTTGTTGTTGAGCCACGGATGAGAAAGCGAGAGACACTGAGAGAGGAGAGAGAGAGAGAGAGGATCAGGTAGCTCAGTCAACACAGCCATCATGAATTAACACGCAGTGTGTGTGTTGTCCCTGCCAACCTCTGACACAGTAATATTCACTATCAGCACAGCATGCCTGAGGAAACGGTGCTGAAAGACTGAATCATTAATCTTAATGTCTGTGAAGGCCAATTGGAGTCCGTCTGGCTTCAACCTCAGTGTGGAAATTAATTCTTTCAGGAGATGAGCGAGAACAAGCCAAGAGCTTTAAAGAAAATACTCTGCTTCTCTGAGATATGATTTGATCAGAGAATTAAAACTTAAAAGTGGAGTCTTTGCAGTTGAAAGAACCTAAAACATCATGTATTTTTAAGAGAGGCACCATAGTTGTTTATCTCTTCGTCTTCTCTTCTGGTATTTACATGCAGAATGGAGTCAGCACCATCTAAACTCTGAAAATCTACCCAGTAAAGTCAGACGGAAGATCAATGAAGGCTGCAGCATTCACACTCACCAAAAACGTGTGGAGAGGTGGATAGACAGGTGTAGTCATACTGTACCATCCCATTGTTCTGTAACCTTAGAATGCACCTGTGTTTACGTTAAAAACCCATTAAAAAGCACTGAACTGTCCAGAACCTTTATATCAAATCACACCCATGTCTGCTGATGTAGATTTAGAGAATGAACGGAGAACAAGATGGAGATATTCTATCATGTGTTTGGGCAAACGCTTCGTCATATTGTAGCTGACGTGACTGCTGGGGGTCAGCAGGCTGCTGTACTGTCATAACAGAGGTATTTGTCCCCTTTCGACTGAGGTGACTCAGAGACAGACTCTGGGTGGAGTACCACTTTAAAACATGGGCATGTAGCCTCAGCCCATCAAAAACAAACATAAAACAATAAAGCTCTGAGGTTTGGGCTTTAACCTCGATGATTGATTTGGATTAAACTGTACCACACACACAAACATTCACACCGCAACCCCCCTCTTTATTAATACAACCACTGTAACAACCTGTGTGAAACGACGAGTGCCGGCTCTGCAGACACCAAATGGTGAATTTGGTGCTGCTCTGAGATCATGTGGCCAAAACAACATAACAAGACAGGATTCTGAAAAGAACAGAATTATCTCTGACATCCTTCATTTGTAAACTAGGAAATATAAGCTCTCTGTGACTTTGTTTTGGGTCAAGATTCCATTTTATGCAACATCTTGTTTGTGTCTCATGCTATTTATAGTGTGTTTGAAGCGCTCTCTTCCATCTGATTTTATTTCCACTACTGGATCTATGCTCTGTGGTTTGGATGTCTGTGCTGGACCACTGGGCGTCCTGGGACCTTTATCACTCCCCTGGCTGTTTTGGGTCTACACACTGAGTCTGCAGATTATTAGGTAACCCTGGCTAAAACTCAGTCTCATCCAACAGTCCTGCAATAAATCCTCCTTCAAGAAGGTGATAATGTTCAGTTCAAACTGTTTCACAGGTGTTGACGAGACAGGGGCTGTCGGGTGCTGTGCAGATTGTAAAGGACCATTTGTCTTCCCACCCAGCAGGTGTAGTAAGATTAGTCTCTTATTCCTTCAGCCAATTCAGTGCCACATTATTATTTAGGGTTTTTTGCATCTGATTTTGTTGTACTTGTTTCTTGTTGTTCTTACACTTTGATTGTGTATTTTATTTTGTAAAAGTGGTTTAGAAAAGTGCTATAGAAATAAATAAATAAAGTTTTACTTGCTTACTGTCCTTTTTAAAAAAAAGATAAATATGAATAAAAGCTTACAAAAAAGTAAAACTGTCTTAGGAGCTTTGCCTTTATACTGTATACTATAACTTTAAAGCTCTAATTTCATGCTACAGTTAAAACCTCCCATGAGTCTGTGTTCTTCTTGTTGATTTGAAATAATAAAGCACTTCTGTTGGTTTTTTGGTCACATGTTCTAATTGAGTAATTAATGGAACGACATGTTGCACTGACCTTTAACTTTTGAGCACAGAACAATACACCATTCATGTTCATCACTTCCCAGACTGCTTCCTCATTCTGCCGACTCTGTGGATGCATTTGTGCATGAGGAATGTCATGGCATCATTTTGTGTCTTCACGACTTTCAAAGGCAGGTACACGGACAATGATGGCAGTAAACGCACATACGCCAAACCCAGTGCACAGAGCACTGGGATGAACTGGGACCAAATCAACCATGTCTCAGCTAAATCATTTCAGCAGAACCTTTCTTTCTTTTGTTCGAACAAATATGTTGCATTTAGAGCAACAAAGACACCCTCCAACAAAAGTGGTAGTCTTTTTGTTTGCATTCACTGTAAATCAACACAAAATGGAGCCAGTGTTTAACAGCAACAATAGAAGCAGTTAATTTAATTATTACAGACTCAAACCTCTATCACCTGCCTGAGGACGTGGCTATTTGTTGACCTGTGACATGCATGTATGTTACACAGTTTGGCCCACAGTTTTGTTTTGTTTTGTTTTTTTGGCAAAGCTCAGTAAAGCATTATCTTGAGACAGCTATCAGTGTGAGGACAACTGACTGGACAGTTCTTTCTTTCACTTAGACATCAAGACAAACCTGACTGGACTAACAAACAAGTCATTGATTTGACACTGGTCTTTGCTGCTTATATCTCTGGGCTTGTGTTTAGGGAGGCAACAGTGGTGCAGTGGGTAGAGCAGTCGTCTCCCCACCAGAAGGTTCAAATCTCGGTGCCAGCAGTCCATGTGTCAAAGTTTCCTTGGGCAAGACACTGAACCCCCTTTTGCCCCCGATGGTTGAGGTGGCGGGGCAGATGGCTACCATCAGTTCTGTGCCGGAAACAAATTCCTTGTGTGTAACATACTTGGCCAATAAAGGTGATTATCCTTAGCATCATTTATCTGGAGCCTGCTACTGTTAGGGACAATCATGAGAGCAGGTGGCAGCCTCTGAAGAACCAAGAAACTGAGAACATCCTCACTTCTTCAGAGGACTGTTTGAGGACTAAGCCTGTGGTTAAGGTTTGGGTTTAAACAGGTAGTCGTGATGGTGAAGCTTAAGTTTCATGCCAACGAGGAGAAGCGTTTTCATGGTAAATGCAGGTGTCGGTGAACAGGAAACCTTGTCATAAACAAAGCCAGAACACACCTCAGATTCATGAAGAGAAAAGCCTGGACAGAGGAACTTCCATCAGTTATTTCTGGGAGCAAACAGCCTGAACCTGCACCAAGTCTCTGTCCATCACAATGGTGTTATGATTCAAGCAGCATGTTGCTTTTGTGGGGCCAGCTGTGTGTTTGCTACTGGTTGACAATGATGTTATGACTGAGGAGTCCACAAAGACAGATCGTGGTTCCTGACTGTGAGGTAGTCCCGACCTGCAGATGAACACGGCGCACGTCCAGGGCCAGAGTTTGAGTTTTCACAGCTAATCTGAAAAGAATATTCAGCCACTGTTTTTCATTGTACACAAGGACCCACCACAAACATCACTGTGTGTCAATTTCCTGAAGGATCTGAAGCAACAACAGCTCAACAACCTGACCTCTCTTGAGCTCGGCAAAACTTATGTAACATATCTGGATGAACCGCTGGTGTTCAAGCTCCATCACTTCCACATTCATTCTGGTACACACAAAGGTAACGAGGACTCTCTGCTGCATGGTAGATGATGGCCCCATCCATCACTGAGCACACTGATAGGTCACGTTTGAAATGGTCCACTGGTGTGCTCACATAATGTACATGCTCATAAATCATGATTGATCCCAACACTCAAATACTATAGGTTATCCCCACTGCTTTCTTTCATTTATCAGCCCCATCTCATCAATATGTGACCTGCCTTTGAATATTAATCAGCAGAGCTAAGCTACAGTCTATCAGCCATGACACTGTAGGGTGTGTGTAACATTAGAGGAACATAGTCACATGTTACGTAAGCTCACTACCTGCCTGATGCTGCGGCGAGAGACGTCTCTGTACTGAGAGAAGACCCTTCACTGCTGCTAGTCACAGTTTAGGTTACTGTAGCTCCTAGCAACTATATTTTATCCCACAACTGCTGTGAGATCAGTTCCAATACTCTTCATTGTTCAGTGAATTTCACATGCCACCGTACCATAATTACCACTTGTCACCACAGAGGGCGCTGCTGTTGCTGCTGCTCTGCAGCAGGTACAGTCTGGCTTTAAACCTCTGCAATGACACATTTATGCTGATTTCAGTGAATTGCTTTTAAAATGCTATATTAAAGTTAACACAGCAGTGAATGTTTGATGTGCAGCAAGCGGCAGCGGTGGAGCTTTTAGGTAAGCAGTGTATGCAGCCATGCAGCTAAGAATGGGCAGAGCACTGACAGCCGAAGTACACCGCCATGATTGTTGTTAGGAGTGTGACACAGACACTGGACAGACAATGCAAATCTAATCCTACTTTAACTAGACTGTATGCTTTATAAATGTAAGTAAGTTCCTTAGTTTGTTTTTCCACCTTGCCAGGCCACATGCTGTCTGTAGGACAGTTTCTCACTTTCAGTTTCACACCAACATGAGGTCAGTGCACCTGCTTCACAGATCACCTGCTAGGTCAGTGTTTGTTCTGTTAGATAGTTTATGACATGGTGATTCAACAGTCAACCAATGCAACAAAACAATCAAACTGAAAAGCTGTCACACAGGGTTGAGCAGTGCAGCAACAATGATCACATCTGACATAGTCCGTTATCATGTGAAACACACCGCTAACAGGATGGATTAGGGTAAACACACATAGTAGGACCACGTTAAGTCGCAGGAAAGAGGTGAACACTTTTGATCATAACAGCCACCAGACTGAGAAGTGCTTCTTATTCAGGATGTGGGGCACACAGGCCACACAGTCTGTTGGAGGAGCATGACAAGATGATTTCTAGCACTAAGCAGACTGCTGAAAAATGAACTATGGATATTTCATTTTAAAGCAGTGAGGCTCAGTTATTGATTATATTCTTTGTCCCAGGAATTCTCCTATATGCCTCATAACAGAGATGCATGTGTCAGTTGGAAGTGCTCAATCAAATAAGCAGCATGTTCATGCTTCACAGTAGCTATACCAAACAGTTACACAATTAAAAATGCAGCTGAGAAATCTGACACCCACTGTAATGTGGTAATACACCATGGTTACCTGTAAATGACTCCATGCCTGTGCAGGAACATCAGGGCAGATGTGACCTCAGCAGCGTAAAATCGAGCTCGTACCTCGTCAAACTTTCTCGATCGCTGAATCTGGAACATCAGGTCACCTCCGTTAACGTACTCCATCACAAAGAACAGCCGGTCCTGAGAAGGAGAAGAAAAGAGACAGTTACTGACTCAGCATGTAATGAGTGACTACAGTGGGTTCTGATGTTAACAAACATACAGACCTGCTACGTGTATTTAATATAGACTGATGGAATAGCTGTGAACGTCTTGATTCGTTTGACAAACAGTCTAAAACCCAAAGACACTCTGATGGACAGCACACGTAGGTAAACTGTGATGAGCATTTCTCCTTATCGAAAACATTTTCAAGCCTTATTGATTAATCTCATAAAACATTTAGACCTAAAACGATCTGGACAGGTTTTACTTTTGGAATGAGATTCTGAAAAACTCTGAATGATATAATAATATAGTAAAATACTCATGTCAGTAACATGTTGTACAGTAAATGTGTCACTTCCTTTAACTGATTGAAATGAATGCAAACTAAATTTGAAACTGCTGGAAAGATTCTACATATTTATAAAAGTCAGAATACAATAAAAAATGAAAATAAAAAAATAAAAAAGTAAATGAAAAAGATTCTGGGACCAGTGCTGATTGTTTCCACTCCAATAGGACCCTTCCTGTCACGCACACACTCTATACCGCACCCTGAAAGCTCTATTCTCTTGGTACTGCAAACAGGCTCCGGGGGGAAGATGGATGGACATTTTCCTGCTCACTTCCCAGAGCAAGAGCAAGAGAGAGAGTGTGTGTGTTGGGGGAGGGTTGTGATATAATCAGAAACCAGAGGGAGTTGTGTGAGAGCCATTGTGTCACACAGGTGTCAAAAAGGTTAAGGTGACAAACACAATATATGTATGTATAGTATAGACGACATATACAGACGGTGACCAATGAAAGGAAACTCCTGACTGGGTGGAAATTTACACAGCAGGGGTCACTGATCAATCAGCTGATCATTGTCTTGATGATCTGATTGATCTTTTTATTCCCAGACACTGCTCTCCAGAGCCAAAGGTGGCGTCTTCACATGTCTTGTTGTGCCCAACAAACAAGACACAACTGTGTTTGGAATGTGTTGCAGGCATCAGGACTGAAGCGAACGTTTTGAACAAAGAATAAAGTTGATGAGGTATCATATCAAATAATGTGCTGCTGAATTGTTTTCAGTGTAATACAGGACACGGATGATTTACTCATCGCTATTTTCAGTTTTAATTTGATTTTACATGCCATCCCGACTTTTTCTGGTTTGGAGTTGTACGTAAGTGGCCGGCTAGTCCACGTCCGAGCTTTTTTCTCTCTGCTCCTCCTGAAAGTGACTTTAAACTGGATGCCAAAACAGTTTGTTTAAATGGAGCCAGAGACCCAGCTGGTCCCTGCCAATCAAACATGAATAAGCATTTCCTGAGTGTAATTACAAATGTGCAGACACTGGACATGGTTACACACACACAGATGTGTCTTTTTATTGTTGTAAAGATGTGCATTGATATAATGCACATCTTTACAACACCTATAATGTCTGTGTGTGTGTGTGTGTGTGTGTGTGTGTGCGCATCCTCTCTCTATTCCACTCTGCTGTAATGTACATAAAACAAGTCTCAACTCACATCTCATGTAACTCAAAGTCCATTATCTCATACTTTCTCTTTCTTCACTAACACACACACCCATGCTGTGTTTTCATTCCTTGTGGGGACTTTTCATTCATTTCTGTAGACTTATCTTAGCCTTAACCATAGCCACTGTCAGTTTTCCACCGTTAATAAAAGTCCTAACACATCACGTTTAGCCAAGTAAAATGCCATGGTTAAGCTTAGTGGTTAAGGACTGTATTATGACAGTGAGGGTCCTCCCAAGTATAGAATCAATCAAGTGTGAGTGTGTGCACTCCAAGACCAGCATCCATACCTCTAGAGTAATGACTGGAGCTTTGAAAAGTACAATGCTCATCCAGTGTGCATTTGTTGTTCTTGCTTGCACAACTCTCAGTGTCATTCCTCATGATGACTGACAGGAGTTAAATATGATGGTGGTCCTCTCACAGAATATCTTCTTACTCTACATTACCGTAAAAACAAGTGAGCAATTTTCATTGGCTTAAAAAAAGCTGTGTGAGTGAGTGTTTCATGAGAAACAGATTTCCAGGAAGGTCGGCTCCTTTAAAAGCTGCTATGAAGTGAAGTGTGCAGTCAGGGTGTGTGTGAGTATAAGCTAAAGACAAGAGGTAGATGGTTTTCTTGTGTATTTTTGTCCTGTGCAGGACGTGTCCCAAGGTTTTTATGTCTCTTAGTGACAGAGAAATGCTCTAATGACACTGCCTGTGTACGTGCGTGTACACTGTCTGCACATCTTGACTGTGTGGACAGACTGAGAATGTGTGAACACTGCACCAGGAGAGCTGGATGGCAGGTGGATGCCATGAAGTAGAGCTTCATGAACGATATCGTGTTAGCATAGGGATGGGGGAGAATGGGATGGATGGGGCATTTTAATGACATTTTAGAGTTTTTGTGTTTTTTCAAGGTGACAAGTTTAATGTGTACATTTAACAACAAATGAAAATCGATCTGACCAAGGCCTTACCCTTTAACAAAGGCACACTTTTGCACTTACACTTTGCAATATGTAACTTTCCCTTTTAGTCTTTGACTTTTACAGTTTGTTTGTTCAATGTTTAACTCCTAAATTGGTTAAGATAGTTATCCTAGCTTAGCTTCCTGCCTGAAAACAAAACAAAAGGTTATTTTAAAAGTTAAAATGTTGCTTTTTAGAAACAACAGTGTATTTAGCTATTTTACAAGATGCTCATGAAAACTGACAGCAGCAGCTGGTTTCCCACCCCTGCTTTCAGTCATCTGCCACATCTGTATGACCCTCCTGACTCTGTGCCTGCCTTCTCGCCTTCTTCTCTATCTGTCTTTCTATCTGTCTGCATCAGTCCATCAGTCTCTCTTTGTCCTAGGCAGCAGAGAACAGAGGTTCATTAATGCACCTGGCTGGTTTCTGGCAGTCTCTGCTGCCTCTGATGTCCACCAATTACAGCTCATTAAAAAACACTCTTCACTCTACTCTGTCCTGTTCCTTGCCTCACTGATTTATTTATTTATTTTTTCACCAAACCCTCCTACTTCTCCTCTTTTTATCATCTTTGATGATTCCAGCTTCCAATGATGTCGTCTTGAGCTGTTGCTCTGACAAAAAGATGCCATTTGAAGACATCACCTATTGCTCTAAGATACTGTTATGGAGATATTTCACTATATTTGGATATTTTATACACTAAACAGTTAATTGAGGAAATCACTGGCAGGTTAAAGAATAATGAAAACGTGATTTTTCACTTTTTTTTTTTAAATCTGCACATGCTCAAGAAAACCCCAGGACCAGGGACTTGTTAGGGTTCAGCTCTTTTAGCATCTGTTCAGGGCTGTGAAGATGGAAGGATGGTGATGATATCACTGGTCTGCTTAGCACGGACGATGAGCCGAGGAAGTGTGTGTCTTCTGTTCAAATAATGACCCTTGTAGAGGGCACCAGAGCTTCTAGGACTGTAAGAGCAGCACTGTCCATGTTGGACCCATCCGTCATCACTATGAATCAAACTAATATGAAGTCCAGTGTTCAGCTAGAAAGAAATCTATTACTGCCACATTATATGTTACATAACTACTTTAAAGCACAATAAAAACAGAGACCCTGCTACAGGTTTGAACCCACCACTGAGCTCTACTGTTGAATCCAATGTTATGCTGTACTGTCAAGATTCATTAGCACAATTAGTATTGTTATGTGAAATGTGACGTGTGCCTCCTATACTATATACAGTATATATACGGAGGTGGGCTTGTTTATTGTAATCACATCAAGACCAGAGCATGAAGTGTGTGTTCCAAGGGGAGATGGGTGGTGAGGGTGGGGCACACAGCATACTGAATACACACCATGTCCCTGATAAGGATCAAAGCAGTTATATAAGGGACACAATCCCTTTGTTTTGTCCAAGAACACAATCCCAATCACCCCCGACTGCCTGAGTGCGTGTGTCTGTGTGTCCATTTCTGCTTCAGACAGGCTGATGTACAGAAAGAAAAAATAATGAAGTAAATAATGGAAAATAAGACAAAATACAAACGTCATCTGTTGCTCGCTCTCATCCATCCACCCTGCAGACATTTGTGTTTGCTTTGGAGGAAAATAACAGGAATAAATAAATTGAACAGGACTTGGCATCATTACGCTCAAGCTCCAGGGACATTAAGAGAAGATAAACAAAAGATGCAGCTCACAAAATGTCCCGTTCATCCACATTTAGCCCCAGTTCTCCATCATGGCTGAATCCTACAGAGCTGCTGCAGAAAGCACAATGGAAACATAAATCTCTGCACTAAAGTTCACGCATCAAGACTTTCTTTCTTTCTTTCTTTCTTTCTTTCTTGGAAAAAATATGCTAAATGCTGACAGGTCATTCAACTTCAGGTTAAAACCAAGTTGTTCTGAAAACAAGACTAACTATGGAAGACAAGTCACCTAAGGCGGCGGAAGCAGGTCAAATGATCTCATCCCACTGTTCATGGGATGCTCTCCAGACATTTCTTTAATCTTCACTGTGACACAGGAGGCAAATCGCTCTGCTTTCACACAGGTGAGGTTATAATACACTGGCAACACCTCTGGTTACTGGTGTAACCAACAATGTTCATGCTGCATCTGTTCTTGACAAAAGTTAAGTACATTTCTCAAAGGTCTTCAGTCTGTTTGGTGTAAAATGTTCAGCTTGCTGCCTACGTTTGCAGCTCGTGGCCTGACTGAGAGAAATCAGCACCCATGTGACGTTCTCAGCACCGTCAGGCTCAAGTTACATTGAAAGGAATCAGCTCATCAACGTGTCACCTGTTGCTTTAAAAGTCGCCAGATTGGAAAAAACGTGCACACCCAGGAGTCACACACACACGTAGCCCTACATGTACTATATATATACCTTCTATATGTTTCCTGACAGGAACACTTATGCCACATACAATAGATCAGTGCCCTTTGTGAGTCTGTCATTGTCCACTTACTGTATAAACGCACAAATTAGCTGAGAAGTGGAGACGATGAGAGCAGAGTAGAGTGTGGAGGAGAAAGCAAGAAGCCGGAGCTGAAGGCAGACGCTTCACTGTTGATGTCAGTGTTAAAGCTGCTGTCCCAAAACATGAAGAGTGAACTGAAGAGATGTTTACATCATCTGCTCAGCAGGTACCGAACAGTGAAGCTGAACTGAGGGCAGCTGACCTCTGGACCAAACAGGCGTGATGTGAAGTGAATACTGAGCAGCTCTCTTACTGTTACAGGCAGTCGTATAGGGTTATACTGTTCTCTTATTCTACCAAGCTGGCATGTTTATATAGTAATACATCATCTGCAAAGGGACCTGACATCTTACAATTCTGTAGTCACTTCAGATCTGAGTGTAAATGACCGAGACTTAAAGGTTAATGTAACCTGTTCAAAAAGCAGTTCTTTCTTATTGAAATTCATTTTAGGTGTTTTTTCAGATCAGTGATTCCTTCACTTGTTGTTTAATTGTAATCAAACGTCATGTGGTCGGAGAACAGTTTCACACAGAGACATTGTTGTGTAGATCTTTTCCCAGACTGTGGATGTATTTTTATTAGCTGCTCAACCATCGAAAGCAACAGACTCAACTGTGGCCTGATGCTGCCGCCTGGGGGTGCAAAGTATGTCTGCACATGTGCCTTGGTGTGTGTGTGTGTGTGTGTGTGTGTGTGTGTGTTCCTACTTTAGTCTGGAAGCAGCAGAAGAGCTGTGTCAGGTAGGGGTGTTTTCTAGCCAGGGCCAGGATCCGTTTCTCGGTCAGGGTGCAGTCGACGTCGTCGTCCTGCAGGATCACATCTTTCTTCAGCACTTTGACGGCGTAAACCTCATCGCTGCCTTTCAGCTCCGCCAGCATCACCTGGTCACATGACACACAATAGTCAGAACAGCCGCTCCTTCCATTCACAGTAAAATGTGGGGAAGGAAGAAGAGATGGATACAAGACCAAAACACAAACATAACCAGAGCTGAAAAGGAAACAGGTGGACAAAGGCTAGAGGTCATACACTCACCTTTCCAAAGCTTCCTTTTCCCAGAACTTTGATGAACACAAAGTCGTGCAGGTTCATCCTCTTGGTCTCTGGAGTGCTGCGACCTTTGACCTCTCCGTTCTCTCGGCCCTCTTCTCCCTCCTCGCTGCCACTGCCGCCATCACCTCCTTCGCCTGGTCCTCCATTGTTCATTTCCTCTGTTACTGTAGCAGCAGATGAGGAGGAAGAGAGGGGGTGTGTTTTGTGCTCGTCTCCATGGTGGTCAAACGACAGAGCTTTCCGGATGTTCTCCAGCTCCTTTCCATCTGGACAGAAATACATTAAGATGAGCGCTGGTGTATTTGGTCATTTGGTTTGGTTTGATGGAGGTTAAAGTTCACGTGTGATGGTCGGAACTTCTACCCTGGTCACACGGGGAGGTGGGGGCGGACTTTGAGCGGTCGTCTTCTGCCTGAGGCGTCCCTGATAATGGCTGCTGGGGGTCCTGACTCTGAGGAAGCTGTTCACAGGCAGCACACGTCTATTAGTGTCCTCATGGCTAATGTTATCATCCTCATCACGTTCTGTCTACGCATTAGCATCTTCTTTTGTAAAACTTTAGAATGAATCCTGTTAGCAAAAATATTTCAATTCCTAAATTTGTTTTTCTAAAACTCGTGGATGACTCACCTTTTTCCGCCTCTGAGCGCTGTTGGAGATCTTGTCTGGCGTGACTCCGAGGTCCGAGAGGACCTTAGCGATTCCTCTGGCGTCCACGCCACAGTTGGGGGCTACGTTACTCTCACAGCGCCTGTGTACGTTCACTTTACACACTGATACAAACACACACAGGGCGAGAGTTAGCATGTATAAATTCAGAAGAGACACTTGATCCAGATCAGGCTCATAAAGTGCATCTGTCCTACCTTTACACTGGAGCCCTTGTCGCAGCAGGCCCCACAGCAGAGACCCACAGTGGTCACAGAAGGTGAGAACTTTAAAGTTGTGGATGCTGAACTTGTGCGGCACGTTCACACTGAACCTCTGACAGCCGACTGTCTGTGAGAGGCAGGAGAGACAGTTAGAGCAGGAAGCTGGGGAGGTGAGCGAAAATGCCAGCTCCAAACTGTCGACTGAGAATCTGCAAAATTAAGTCAACAGGTTTCTGGTAGTATTGATTATTAAAGTCATGCTTAGTGGTCAAGATGAAGTCATACAATCTACCGGATGAACTTGTGAACATGTCTGATGTGTCACACGAGGCAGAGCCCTGCTGTTTACTTGCTGTGGAGCATGTAACCAGCATTTCTTATGTTTCTTCTTTCTAAAAGTTTAGCATTAGACTGATCACATACAGAGAGCACAAGATGTCATGTAATCTTAGCCACTGTGTTGACTCTAACGATAGTCTGTTTGTTTGTACCTCCCCGACCAGGTCCTCCTGCTTCTTCATCCCTGCACACTTGGTAATGATCAGCTCATGGCAGCGCTTATGGACCACACAGGTACACACTGGAGGAGCACACACACGGACATATGAAGCACATTTAGAGGGCTACTGAATGTGTCTGAAGTGCCTTCAAACATAAATGACTAGACACACTGGACTACAGGAAAATACAGACTAAGATGCTCCAGAAAACATTATCCCACCTTGACACTGGTAGCCCTGCTTGCCTAAGACGCCCCTGCAAGTCAGAGAGAGAACATGTGAGAGAACAAACATGAATCAGATGAAACTGTTGTGAAGAACAAGTGGTGATTTATTATTCAAGTCTGGTGGTTATAAACTAGTCCAAACCTGAGCACTAATCTCTGATGTTGCTAGCTAATTCTATTGTACTACTGAACAAGAAACCCACTAAATCTAATATATTGACCCTAAAATGGGACATTTTATTGCAAAGCACAACAGTGGGTCTCCACAAACACTCTGCATGCTGCTGTGTCCTTGTTGATTCACCTCAGAACCCTGAAAACTGAAGGATTCTATCGAACAGTTTCCTTCTGATTACACATCAGACGTTCTTCCAGAGCGTAGCTGAGAGCGAGCACAGCACCGAGGCCACGTGCCTTTCATGTGAGTGACGCTGACACAGTTTGTTGGTACGAAAACAAACACAGCTGGCTTTGTTTATTACTTCACAATGCCCACTGTGTTTGCATGTAAACAAGCTGGGTTAAGGCAGGAAATCAGAGAGCACATTCAAAAGCACTGCAAGCCGGGCGACTGCATGCAGCTGCTCAGCTGCTCAGTCCGTTCCCTGATGTAGCACCTAGTGCTCTTTGAGCTGGTAGGTGCTTTATAAATAAATGTTATTATTATTATATTATTATTCCCATACTGTTACCACTGTGATCACTTTCAAAAGTACTGCAGTTATAATGCTGCAGCCAAAAGAGTCTTTTCCTGCCTGTTTCCTTTGAGCCTTTGTACTTTTGTTCATATATGTGTGTGCATACTGTATAGGTGTGTGCATAGTTTGACCCACAAGACTGGATCAAAGTTTTATTTTTGAAAGCAAGGTTTTGCCATCAGACTTCCTCCACACACCAGTTTGTTTGACAAACTGGCTCCATCTGCCAGTTAAAAACTTAAGAGTAAATGTATAACACTGAGGCATGTACTGTGTGTACTCATTCCATGTGATGATGACTGTGTGCCCCCTCACCAGATGAAGTCCCTGCAGTGGGAGCAGTAGGTGGGCTGTCTCAGGTAGGTGGCCATGAACTTGTGCCCGTTGACCTGGTGGACCCTCCGGCGGACAGCACCCTGACGCTTCCTGGGACGCATCCGCTGCCGAAACACACGCTCCTCATTCTCAGTGGAGCCTGTTGCAGCTGCACACACACACACACAATCAATATTGTGGTAAATGTACAGTATGTAATATTAGAGGCATCAGTGGCTTTTGATCATGTTGCTACTTGGTGACTTCTCTAAAATCTAAACCAAGTGAATGTGCATGAGCTGCAGTGAAACCCTGACATTCAGCTCATCTTAGATGTATGATACTACAGGCTTTCTGAACACTGGTGATATGAACATCAGTCAGATAAATGAGCAGCATATGCAGGGTTTGGTGTCTCCCATTTGTGCTGCACTTACACCAGGTACACACTAGATGGCGGTGGCACCGTGTCACTGATGCGGTTGTGCCCTTGAAGATGAATTGATCTTTTCCTTTTCACACAGTCAGTTACAATGTCGGCCTCTATCTCTCCTCCTCTTCCTGTTTAATTAGAGAACGTGTTCCCAGTGGAGCAGCAGAGGTTTCAGTTACTGCTTGACATGGTTAACTCACTGTGCAGTACTTTCTTTTAGTGCCACCTTCACTCCACCAAACATCTGTTGACCCTCTGGGACTTTTTGTACAGTACATTTCTTATTTCCAGTCCTGTCCTGTCTTCAGTCTTACTCTTCCAGCCTCTTCTCTGCCTTGCAGCTGCTGCCTGTTCCAACAGTGTTACATGGTGTGATAAGCACGCTGCTCCCCTGTTATGTCCTCACAACACCCCAAATGTGTTCCAATAGTGTCACTGTAACAATGAGACAATGTGGACAACGAGCAGCAGGACCATTTAACCATTAGCTAATGAGATTAGAGCCTGAGGTCTTGAACTCCAAGAGGCTGCAATGTTTACTACAGTGATTGAAGGAGCAAGCACACTGACAAGTCTGCTGCTCAACACCTGTGGAAATCCCCACATACTTTTCACAATGCTACATTTAACACGGATTCATGCACATTTTATGCACCTTTTTGTTACTTTGCATCTTCCCTATTAAACCACCTATTTTAGTAGCACCTGGGTCAGCAGTCTTGAGTCCTACCTCAGTTCTCCCTCATCCTCCTGGTGAGGGGAACTAACCATAACAGTTTATTCACTTACTTTTAAATCTTTTGCACCCTTGTGAGAGCTTAAAGCCCAGCATGTCACTGCACCACTGACCGCCATCCTAAGGC